AGTCCTGTTTGAATCTCAGTGTTTATTTAGCTGACAGGCAGCAGTAATCCGTTTCTGGGCTGAGACAAAACTTCCTGGTTGTTAGGCTTGCGAGAAAGCCCACCGGCGCTCATTAGTGCGGAAGAGACAGATGAAGAGGACGAAGAAGTGTGAGGAAAAGAAGCAGGGAGACAGATGGACGGATCACAGCCCTCGACTCTCAGTCATGTTTGTTTGCATAGAAAGCAGCAGCGCATTCTCCTCCCTATCTTCCTCCAGCTCCTGTCATCCTTCCTCTATCTCTCAGCACAAACTACTGGATTAGTCCACAGGCACAACCAACATCCACAGCAACACATGCAGCCGGTGGGAACCTTTGCATACAGATTGTTGTTATTACCATCTTGTTGCTATTCTCCACCACCATCTGAAACCAAGGACTGACTTTCTGTTCCCAAATAAATCAGACACGGTTGTTTTGTTTACATTTATTTCACAATTCGCCTCACGTTAACCCTTAAATGGACAGACACACTTAACTTGAGTAACTTTTTTTTTTTTTTAAATTACTTCTAGGAGTGTTTTTATTATGCTGTACTTTTACTTGAGTAATTTTATTACTTGAGTAACATTTCTGGATCTCTACCCACTGAATGGAAAACAAACATGTTGCAAAATTCCCCAGAGTCAAACTCACCTGCAGTTTTTTAATGAAAGAAACTGATTGGAAACATTTTATTTTGCCTGACTTTGTTAATCTTTTGTTATTTATATGAGTTATTGTCATTTTCTTGTTTAAAATACCAAAGATTTCCACTTAGCTCCATATTTTGTTCCAACTTAAAGATTAATTTTGTCTTATTTCAAGTGTATTAAGATATTTGCACCCACTAAACTAATATTCTTGGTTATATTTTGTGTTTTTTAAGTGTAAAGTAGTTATTACACCCATACAGTTGATTAATAAAACCATTGAGAGCAGAAATAGAGAGAACCTGCAGCAGATGAAGAGGTGGAGATTCAATCAGTCGCCTCTGATCGTCCTCAGACTGATTCCCTCTCAGTCATCCGGTTGTTGATGTGTGTCGCATTCGAGTCATTTGCAGATTATCAGGACACGGCGTTCAAAAGGCCACATGGTGATTAGATTTTAATTTCTGCTTCTTCTCAGTAGCGGGAGAGACGACTGTCAGAGATGAATCATCTCTGACAAAAACAAACAGCTTGTTTGCTTTGTTTATCTCTCCTCTGTTTAAATTGTGATTCTGCTGCAGAAAGCTGCATGCATCATGTTGTCACTGAAATGTTAAAGCAAACAATTTTAACAAACTTAAAATACAAATGAATAGCTGTTTGTTTTTACAAATGTTTACGTAACTAAAAATAGAAATAGAACAACGTCATTTAAAAATGACAGCAAAATTTCTATAGTAGAAATTATTAATGCCTTTGTTTGCAGCCATTTTCAGGTGTGAGTGTAAACACTGAGTTTATCAGCAGCAGATTATTTGAATTAAAATAGAACAAGATGTCATAAAACAACTGAAAATAGGCAGAAGTTACCAGACTAAAAATCTGATTATCGAAGAACGATTTTGTATAAAAAGTAGAATGAATTTACCAATCCTAACCCGTTTAAAGACGCTTAGGATCGGCTTAAATTTATGAACTAATAAAGAACAAATTGCTTTTTCACACAGTGAATAATTCAGATACATTTCTTAAGCTTAACGAAGAAAACACTCATTTGAAATCTGGAGTTTTTATCTACTTTGGTTATATTTGTCACATTGACATGCGAGTAAGTAGTTGAACTCATCTGAGAGATTTTGAACATTGTGTCTTGTTTTCTACGTCTATCTCTCCTTGGTAGACAAAGACTTTCAAATTCAAAGATATCACTGAAACTGCTTTCCGCTTTGTTTGACTTTTGGTTCTTTCGTTTCTTCATGCGAAATGTTTTACAAAATGGAGGTTAAATTAGTTTTTTTGTGCCTCGAAGAGTCATGTGTCTGATGTGAAAAAGTTGTTTAGCCTGAGTTTTCTGAACTTGAACACAATGAAGCAAAAAGGAAACGTCTCAGTAAGTTGGATTACATGTTGATGATGTTTGTGTTGCTTTTTATGCATCCATCAGTGTTTTGATGCGTCTTAAATTTATTCTCCTGTGAAACAGTTTCCTGAACCTTGGATTGATTGGCCTCATTTTGTGATTTTAAGCTACTTTGAAAAGCATATTTAGCAGACTGCTATTATTACATCTTAAAATTGTTCTTTGGTTTGCATGCAAACTCTATGATTTAACATCTTTCTTGATGTTTACATGTAAATTATATTCTATTCTAGATTTTTTTCTCTCTTGTCCATTTGTGTGTGAAAGCTGCTTGTTTGTAATGTTCTTAGATCTGAATATTACCTAAAAAAGTTCTTTGGGTTATTATGATTTCTTCTTCCTCTTTAAGTTATTGGTTTTGTTCTTCTAGTTTATGAATAACATATGTTATTGTATCTCAATGGGATTTTCCAGCAAGATAAAATACAAAAATATGATTTGTTTAGTCTCTAAAAGTTTAATGAAAACATTATGCAGAAAAAAATATCACCTGTGTCTTCAGTCAGAGGCTTCTTCAGATAGTCTGTAACGCAGACTGCTACAGGAGATCCTTTCTGCTCAATTAAATAGAGTAAAATATTTTAGAGTTTAACTGAATCCACTTTCTCAGTGATTTTGAAGAAAATAAACTTTAATAAATTGATGTTTAGAAGAAAGATAATTTCTGATGACAGAAATGAGTGAAATTATTAAAGTTCCCATTCTTTACAATTTTTACCATTTCAAGATATTTTTAAGAACATTTCTCTTTATTTTATATCATGTTATTAAGGAAAAGTTAACCTTATAGTTGGTTATCATTTTCAAATTATCAAATTTAATCAAGGATTATTTATTTTAGCATTTCTGGTTAACAATTCATCTGGATCAAATTCCAAAAAAGTCAACTCAAAAACATCTTCTCCACTGCTGTAATATTTGTATTGAACAGTGATTGGTTATTTCAACAACCTTCTCAACTGTTTGTGTTCCTGCAGCCTTTTTACTCATTCTGCACTTTGCAGTCGATGGAAATGTTGTGTTACGCAGTGAAACTTTGTTGTGCGGTGCAATAATCCAACTCCACTTCCAATATGAACCTCAGAGTAATTCATCTTCAAAATGTCACTGCTGCAGGATAATTTAAATGTCTTTATAGGATCAAATTTACATAATGCAGTGCAATGCAATATTTCAACTCAGTGTTAGATGGACCACAGTGCTGTTTTGTATTTTATATGTATTTTAAAGCAAGATTATTAGTTTGATGTTGACAAACAGCATAAAATCACACAAAAACAAAACAAAGCAAACATTAATCAAAACATCTATTTTACCTGTTTATAACAGAAACTGCAAAACAAGTCATAGTATTCCATTTACTGTTTTCTACTTTAATAGCGCATTATGTGTGAACCGTGAAGATAAATTACATAGGTTGCTGTCAGAAAGCCGATCCAACATAAAACCGAAACCAAATGAAATATTTGAATCACAAACATGGCCTCCATTCCTCATCAATCGAGGCCAGAGTTAAACTCAAGGCTCCCGGGCCGAATCCGGACCGCCACAGCTACTTATGTGGCCCTTAAGGCTCCACATAAATAGAATTTCAAGATAACAGTTGTATGCTTAAATTTTATTTTAAATCTGTCAGATAAAATCAGTTTTTTTTGTGTGTGTGTTTTATTATTTGGGAGGTTTTTAGAAGCGTTAGAGATCTAAATGGAGGCACAAAAATGTGCAAAACGTGAATTTTGTGTTGGCTAATTAATCTGAAGCCTGGACTTACAAGTACTGAAGCCCAGGACTCTTCCTAACCCTCCAAGATTTTTCCTTTTGTTTTTATTTTTAATGAAGACATATTTTGCAACCTTCATATAAAACTCATGAAGCTTCAGGAGAGTACAGGGAAAAGTAAGCTTATTCATACAAATATAATTTTTGCTTTAAAGATCCTGATAGTACAGAATTTATGATTTTCTGTCTCATAAATGAGACTCTCCCTGCCTCAGATCCTACAGACTAGCAGCAGCAGCAAAAAGCCAGAAAATTTGAGACTAATAAAAATTCTGAGATTTTTGAGTTTGACAAGTCAAGAAATTGGTCAAAAAAAATTGAAATTTTGAGATTATTCTGAGAAATTTTCATTTAAAAACCCAAAACAATTCTGAATTTCAAAAGTTGAGAATTTTTGACTTGGATATTTTCTTAGTTTCAAAAGTAAAACATTTTCTACCTTTGAAACTCTGAATCTACCTTGTTTTTCCTCAATTGAAAATTTTTTAGAAGTCAAAACCTTCACTTTTGAAATTCAGAAATGTGTATTTTCAATGACTTTTCAGTCTAATGTCAATATATATACTTTTTTCTATCAATTTTTTTTGACATTTCAAACTCAGAAATGTTCTTGTTTTGTTGAGAATATCTGATATTAATCTTAATTTCTTTTAGCTAATTCTTGAATTCTCAAACTCAGAAATTTCTGTTTTTTCTAGAAAATTTTTCTGAGCTCAATCTAAAAAACATTTTAGCTAATTTTTGTTTTTTCAAACTCTGAAATTTCTGTTTTTCCAAGAAAAAAAATCTGAATTTTTTTCTTTCATAATGTACTTTTCAAACTTAGAAATGTCCCTGTTTTTCTTGAAAATTTCTGAAATTAATCTAAAAATTTCTGAGTGTTTTGGCAGAAATTGTCTTCGTTTTTTTCCCCCCTACATTTGGCCCTAACAGGCCGCCGTACATTTAACGTATCTTCATGAAGTGAAACACAGCAGCTTTTTGTTTTTCTTGGCTCCTTTTCCTCATGTTGATGTTAAGGTGGTCTCCTCACGTGACCAAGCCGGGTGGGCGGGACTTCTGCGCCACCGGCCAATAGCAGTGCAGAACGCGAGCAGGCTCGCGCAGCAGCGGCTCTGTGTTGCGCGTGGATGGGGAGAAGGAGGGGAGGAAACCCGAGAGAGACGGAGAAAACCGAATAAGGGTTCAGTCCAACATACATGGCGCCCGCCGACCCTCGCATTTAAACCGTCCCGCCTCCAAACCCGCTTCCTGTGATGGTCACGTTGGAGCAAACGGCCGCGGCGAAGGCGTTTTAAGAGCCGAGGGACGGCAGCGGTCCACCATTGTGCGCGCAGGACTTGGAAGAATGGCCTGGATGTGGAAGGTAAGAGCTGCTTTCTCCCTCTCAGTCCTCCTGAAAATAATTAAAACGAGCGGACATATGGAGCCCGAGACGCGGGTGGGTCTTGGTCTGGCAGTATTTTAGCTGACGGAAGGTGAAATAGGAGCAGCATGTGTTGGTGGGAATGATGCTCCATGGAGGTAATTAATCCCCCGGTTTATATCAGATGTGCGCTTCCGGTTTCTCTCCTTATTGCTCGGTGATTTTTGGAGGTGTGTTGTTTTATTTCCATCTGGTGTGCTGTCAGACTGGTGAAGGCCAACATCCTTCAGGTGCAGGTGTTTACCTGCTGAGCTGCAGTAAACAAACCTGAACTCTGAAGCTCTCATATTTAACAAACACTGCATTTCAAACCACAAATCATCTCAACCACAAAGTAAACACATTACAGTTTAGATTCCAGCTTTTGTCTGAAGCACCAGTGCAGAGCAAATGTAATCCAACACACTTTTTAAATAATTGAATCCAATTTCTATGCACAGTCCAGATTCAGATTCATAATCCATTTTAATCCATAACCTCCATCCATCCATTATCTGTTCACCCTCATCCCTGGTTGGGTGGGAGTTGCTGGTTCCGGGTGAGAGGTGAGGTCACCCTGGACAGGTCGACAAATAACTGACCTGTTATTAAGTCTGTTGTAGGGCAACACAGAAACAAACAAACCAGGAACACACACACTCACACCTAGGGACAGTTTGGAAAGACTGTCATGTTTTTGCATGTATAGGGAGAACATGCAAACTCTGTGCAGAACGGCCGGGAGTCGAACCCAGGACCTTCTTGCTGCAAGGCAACAGTCCTACCAACCGCGCACTGTTGTACGTGAGTCAAATAAATCTCACAACGCTGCCTACATCAAATGATGTCGAGTAAAAAATAAACATTAATTCAAAGTCAAATGCATCAAAATGAACAATCCTGAGTTACTGAATCAAAACTTCCTGAGAGCAAAGCGATCTGAGTAATGCTGGTTCTGATTGGCTGTTTTGACTAATTGGAGTAATTCTGCAGAACTGGGAGAAGGCAGAGGAGACTGATTATGTACCACAGATTATTTGTTTTATGTTAGGACGGTGAAAGTTTTAGTACAAATGTAAAATCTTTTATTTTTTGAAGTTACATGATGCAGCTTCAAGCAACCTTCGCTGTGAGATTTCACTGCGGTTGGAGGTTGAACGTCTGTGAAATGTTACATTCTAGAAGTATTTAATTAAACGATTACTGTTTTTTAAAGTTATGGGTAAGCCACTCTTTTTTTTAATTTATTTGGTCTATTTTATTCGCCCAGTTACTTTTGTTGAGCTGCAGAAGTTTTGGCGAGACTGAGCTGCGCTGCTGCGTCACTGTTTGTTTATAGCATCATTTGGTCAGTTGTAACGTTGGAGCTCTGGGAGAAGAAACTTTTTATTCATACATAATCAGCAAGACAAGCAGTCTAGAAGAACATGAGAACATGAATACAACGCTTTCTCATCTGTAATTATGATTTAACATGAATTCTAGAAGAAATTTGATGTGATTTTGGCCTCTAGTAGTTTGGTGTCAAAATAATTGAAAAAATCAGCTTGTTTACAACCAAAGGTCAATAAAAAAATTGCAGAAGCGGAATATAATAGGCTTGCAGCACAGTTTAACTCTGCCAAAGCTCATTAAGTGGCGATATTGAATTATTGCCCTCTCTAATCCATAGCAGAGTCGCTCAATGCCATTGATCTCAGTGTGTTGAGGTTTTTATTTCCAGCTTTTGCTTCATGTTTTGAAACAACTCTGCTGGGTAAACCTTAACATATAAGCCACCTACGAGATTTATTAACTTTCTGAGCTGTCAGTCATCTAATACCCTCATCCTCCTTCTCCTCTTCCTCATCGGGAAACGGTTTTCCCACAGTGTTTTACTTCAAAAGCTTCACCACGTCTGCTGGTTCCCCTCGTTATCACAGACAGCGGTTAATTTCACACCAGATTTGGCTGCATCGTGTGTTAATATATCTCAAAAACAGGAACAAAGGAAAAATAATTACACTGTACAAAGCGCTGAGTGACTGGAGGAAATGTAATCTGGAGGTGGACAGCAGGAAATGAGGTGTGGCTTTAAATTAAATGTCAATTTTTATGGTTTCTTTTTAAGTTGAGTTCAGATGCAAAGTTTTTGAAGAAGTTTAGGGAGAACCTGGATTTTTCTGTTTCTGGCCCGTTAAATACATCACATTATGAGTCAGACGCATTCAAGATAGCAGGTTGGTGCTGAAATGTTATTTTATTAATTACGTCAAATTAGATCTACGTGAAAAAACATTCAATATCATTTAAATTAATCATAGTAAAGATCAGGGAAACATCCTGTAAGGGCCAGAATGAATTGATAAAACCTATCAATCTGCTAAAATATTAACAAATAGCAGATTAAATAATCAATCTTTTCATATTGATTAGTTGATTTGTTTTTGTGTTTTCTGTGGAATCAAAATAGCGTATTTATTGGTCATATGTTAGAAAGTTTGCCATATTTGTGCTTATGTAACATGGTAAATGTGACTTTTAACTTCACATCAAGAGGGTGAGACAGCAGACTACTAGAAGTAAGAAATACTGCCACCTGCAGGTGGGAGTTAGCCTCACTTACAACCAAAGTTTTTTAACTATTTGTATTGAAAATTTGCAATAAAATCACTGTTATGCTTTAGCAGGAAATAAATGTGGGAATCTGTTCATTTTACATGAATTTCCAAGGTAGCAAAACGGCTAAAAGCTGGGGGGACCTTGTGCCAGATTTGGTCCCCAGACCTCAAGTTTCACACATGTAAGGTTACCAAATATTGAATCCAGGACTAAAACAAATAATAGGATTAATCATGATGAATCGATTATTTAAGATTCATCCTTAACTGGAGTATATAGTATATGTGGGTTCAGTGCAGTGCCTTAGTTTTTTACATAGCTGTATTTATTTTACATTTAAGATAAAACACTTTCGTCTGTCAATAGGTTTTATCCTCAACTGGTATTTTAGCTTAATCTGAATCAAATTCACCCAAGGATTGATTGCATTTTAGGTGATAAAATGTTCATTTTCTTATTTAAAAAATAAAAAGTTTTTGTTTTTTGGGGGTGTTTTTGCTTCTCTTGGTGTATTTCTAATATAAAAAAGGTTTAAGTGGTTAAATTAAAAATCTGTAGAATTTTTTCCAATTGATTAATTAATCGTCAGCATAGTCGATTACTAAAACAATCATTAGCTGCAGCCTTAATTGAATCATAGTCTTTAGGAGCTGTTTAGACAGATAAACCAGGTTGTATAATTGGTAGGTTGCCATGTTTGGGTGTGATCTGTGCAGAAACAGCCATTCATAATGACGCGAGCGACTCAGTTCTTAATCTCTCTTCTGCGCCTCTGTGTGATTCTCGATTCCTGCGGTTGTAAGTGCAGGATACCTGCTGAACGCGGTGGTGCATGCAGTGTTCCCACCGTTGTTAGGTTGTGTTTTAATTGAGGAGAGTTCATGCATGAAGAGCAGCTGAAAGCTGACTGCTCTGTCCCAGCAGCCAAGAGTTCAGCGTCTCGTCTCTTGCTGCTGCTCACAACAGTTCCTCTGAACTAGTCTTGCAAAGTATATGCAAGTATTTCTGTCTAGTTTCTGTTGAAATAACACATAACTAAATTACAAGTAACTGTTCTGGAAGATATAGGAGCTTATTTTATGTAAATAATATCTTAATATTGATGAAAAACTATATTACCAGCAGATTATTTCACTTTTAACATGGTAATACTTTCCTAGTACTGGAACTTTATCAATATTAAGAATTATTGACAAGCTGCTGTATTTTGCTGAAAAGTTACTTGTAAGTTAGTTTTGTCTTATTTCTAGTGCACTAAGTAAGCATGTACACATATAAATTAAAGTGAACTCAGTAATTTCCATTCAGATTATAATTTTTCTTGAAGGGCAATTTTGTTTACAGAGATTTAATAATCTATTTTATTTCTCGTTTCAGTTGTATGTTTTTTTTAATGACAGTTTTATTTATTGTTTTCGGTTCTGGTGTTTTATTTTTTATTTATATTTGATCTAAAATGCCTTCCAGTGTTAAGTGTTCTTCACAAAATTAAAATGAGATAACTTGCATTGTATCATTATTGATAAAATACTTGCAAATGGTCTCAAAAGAGCAATATTATCATTTATCGCAATAATTACTGCGGCAATTTATTTAGATTTTTGCTCTAGATCAGAGATGTCTGGTAATATTTTGTGTTTTTGCACCACGGCTGATTTGAAGATTTTTATTAATTAATGGGTTAACATGTGAACAGGCTCCTGTTTGCATGTGTTGAGAGGCTTTGTTGGAGCGTTTTGTGAGTGGCCCACTTCTTACCAGGGATGAATGGAGCTTTTTACAGAGTTTCTCTTGTGTAACTACATAAAAACCTAATAAATAGGGCTCTCTCATAGTTTTAAATAAAGCGCAGGACTCTAGTGAGAGGCTGAATGGAGCTGGTGCTCTGGTTTAGATTTTTTTTTTCTTCTTTCCCCTTGAGATGTTTCACGCTTTTGTCCTTTTTTCCTTATTTTAGACGCTGAAGCTCTTAAGATTCCTGCATAAAACCTTAACAGTTAAAAAACATCTCCATTGTAGTTAAGTAGGTCTCTTCATAAAATAATGACTAATTTATGAAAGTAAATAAATGAAAATGCCCTCAAATAACTAAAATCCATGGGGATTTCATTTGTTTTGTCTTTATAAGTTAAGCAGATAAAAGACATGGAGTTGATTGTATGTGGAAGATTTTTCAGAAACAGAAAAGTTGCTACAATATCAGCAGTGTCAGAAACTACAATTTGATTCAACTTAAGAAAGAAAAGACTGGTGGATTCAGACACGCAAAATAAAAACCCTGTATGTCCAAGAAGCTAGCCAGCCACTTGTAAGAGTAAGGAATATAAAAACTAGATTAAACTTTGTTAAAAAAACATCCA